CTTATGTGAATTTTTTTATATTCTCTTGTGAGGATGTTGGTTTATTTGATGGAGAAGACTCATCATTGGAAAAATGCTAATTCAAAAAAACGGTGCCTTATATGAATGATATAATCAAATAGACATTTATATTAACATAAATACATAATGCTCTCGACAATTTAAGAGACACAATAAAAATATCAAATTTTGATTTTGTCAAATAAATATTGTGACTGATTTGGAAAATTTACATTGATGATTTGCTTGATTTGCTTGCTTTTGTATGAATACATGTAATACGTACAATAAGTATTCAAATATATTTTTATCAAGCTTGGCAATTTTTCTACCAACATTATTGATCAAAATGATAATGTACTCCAATTGTTTTCTTCAATAAATGGCGGAAGTTATGCTTATTTAAAAGTATTTATTGCTATTTCAATTTTTTATCACATTTCTAAAGTAAATATAAATAAACAAAATTATATCAAAATTTAAAATGTTGGGCCCTTGCTTAGCACAGACAAAAACTATCTAGTATATTATAGAAAAGGGAAAACCCCGTGTTGGGGCTCAATCACTATATATTATTTAAAATTCATAATTTTTATTTACTATACTTCTAATTTCTTAAATATAATGTATTACTTTTTTTCTACTACAATATTAACTATCTAAGATTAACATTAGAAATAAAAGATATATAATTTATAATAAAAAAAGACCGAGAAATTATAAAATACTGAGTCATATTACTTAGTTAATAACAATAAAATATGATAAAATTTTGGACAATTAAATAAAAAAAATTAATTTACAACATCATGGATAATACATATACATATATATTATTTTATAAGACAGAAAATGAAATCACTAAAATATGAATAACTAATACATAAATAATTGAATTTTAATAACTAACTATACATAAATTATTTTATAAGAACTGCATCACTAATTCTAATCAACTATGAATGATGAGTAAATGAGTAACAAAAAAAGATAAATGATGAGATATACACTTAAATTAATGAGAGTGTATAAAGGAAGGAGAAATTTGAACTGAGGCGATCAAAAAACTACAAATGAGTAAATGAGTTGACACACCAAAAGCTATATATCACAGAGTTCTCAAAATAATTTACTAAAAAGGACTTAAAATATACTAATGAATTTATAGCAAATTGCGATAACAAGTAAGGTAATGAAAAGATAAAGTAGGGATAAAAAGTCCAGGCTTCAGATAAAGCAAAAGACGTTAAAAACAATAATAAAAATAGGATGTTGCCTAAGTTCGATTTAGAGATCTTTCACATAAAATGCCAACCTTTAACCAATAAGCCAAGTAGCTTACTATGAAGGAAGCATACATCGACAGACGATATGTCGACGCTCAACTTCAGTTGTATTAATCTTAATTTTGAAAAAAAAAATTGTTGAAGCAATTGTTAAGAGAAAATATTAACTTCATTCAATAGATAAAAAATTGGAAAAGAAGAAAGTCTTTTTTAATCTAATTAAATGTTACGATTATAATATTCTCTTTTATGTGTACTATTTTCTTTATTTTAAATTCAACAAATAAATTTAAATCATCATTATCACATTGATTATTATATGTTTGACGAACATTCAAGGTTAAATTAGGTAATACGTAATGTTTTTCAAATTCTTATCATATACTAGCTAATCTCAATTTGAATCATTAAATAGGAAACAAAAATATTTGTATACGTATCAAGTTATTCAACTATTTACTGAGAACATAACTTTAAATAGAAAGATGTGGAGATTGAAGATTAGTATGTAGCTAAATGTTGTCACCTTTTAATTTGGTGGAGGAGAGACTGGGACTAGCCAGGCCATATTCTTCCTGCAGTATTATTAGTATAGTAATCGCGTAATTTCTTATTTTTCAGTATGCCTGCTATCTATTGCTTCATTTACTTTATGCTTTGATACTTTGCGTTTATATTTTCTTACAATTTTGCTTCGAATTAGTAACTTCTTGTTTAATCCCAAGATCTATTATAAAACAACATTTTTAATCTGTATATAAAAATAAGATCTACATATAATTTTTCGGACCCAAATTCCATTATAAAAAATTACTGTGGTGTGTGGGGTAATTTTTTCTAACCTGCCTAACACAGCCGCTTGGTGTGCGTTAGACAGAGAGGGCAGCTTCATTATAAGGTCACTCATTTATAATATGCTCAATGACAATAAGTTATTCAGCGTGAAATACTATTATTCTTTTATTTATTATCGTCATCAGGTTGATGTCATTATAAATTTATATGGTGTGGTACAATTATAAGATTTTTTCACTTTTTTTTTTTTTTTTTTTGCATTTTATGGACCTTATAAGGTATATTCTAAAAATCCTTTTGAATGTACCAAAAACCTTAAAAGAATTAACCTAAAGAACTATTTTTTTGGAACCCCAAGATAATCCACAGTCACTATAATCTTTGTCACAGTTTCTGTCCTTTGGGTGAGCACTGGATAAATTCTTCACTGTGTAATAGCATGCAAATCATACATGAGATGTAAACAGTACTAGGCAAGCCTTATGTGACATGCTCGACTCAGAAGACATTGAGGGGGATCTATCCCGAATCATCTGTGTGGATGACCATCCTCCAAGCCAATTAAGTCATCCAAAAAGACTAAAGAACTGTTTATCCAACTAATTTATTGTTGATCTATTTTTTTTAAAAAAAATATACATAAAATATACGACAAAAGGACACCAGTATAAATAAAAGAATTGTTTTAATTATTGGACATATTTTCTTAGTTTTTGTTCTCATATTTGTATATAGCATGAACTGGCTAGATGTGCATAGATACCACCCAATTTACAAGTTTTAGCACTTGAGATATGTATAGAGATTCCTCTTAATGGCCTTTTCATTGTCTTCGAAACTATTTTATATCGACAAGGAGCATCATGCAAATTAAAGGCCATTTGCCATATTATTAGAAATAGGCATTATGGTCTTTTAACGTGATCTTATTTTACATTTATGTCCTTCAATTTTGGGGTCCATAAGTAGACAGATAAACTTGTATAAAATTAAACAAATGGACACACACGTCCTACGTGACAATTTGTGTCCTACACAGGAGCAGACTCACATGGTCTTCAGGGGTTCACCCGAACGCCCTTAACAAAAAATTACACTATGTATAAAGTAAATTTTTTGAATATATGTAGATATTGTAATTTTGAACCTACTTATAAACAAGAAGTAAGTTGTAGTGTATTGATAAATAGCCTCTTAGATTGATCCTCACGTTCCAGATTTGAATCCCATTGTGGTCATCTTTTTTTCCGGAAAAGGGCCAAAAATACCCCTAAAGTATAGGAAAAGGTCTTAAAATACCATCCATCCATCTTTTGGTCTAAAAATACCCTTCTACTCATCTTTTTTTTGTCTAAAATTACCCTTCCATCCACCTTTTTGCTCACTTATACCCTTACAACTAACAACCTTCTCTCTTTTTTTAAAATACTTATTATGTGTCATTTTCTTATTGAATGAAATAAAAATCCACCTCTATTAATTTTTTCCCATAATTTATCCAAATCAAAACAATATATCTTTTCAAGATCCAAAAAATATATATTTTTAAATCTAGTAATTTATATTTCTATAGCTTTTTTCCAAAAAAAATTAGATAATTAAAATATTTTAAAAAATACTAGTCATGCTACAATTACAGGGACATAATATATTAATATAAATCCTAAAAAAATATCTATCTTCTTTTTTTTTTTTAAAAAAAGATCATTTAATTTTTTTGACTAATAATCTTGTCGTTCGCGTCATTAGTGATCAAATCTTGGACTGGTGCACCAACTGGAACAACCTTTTTTTAGGATTTATATTAATATATTATGTCCCTGTAATTGTGGCATGACTAATATTTTTAAAAATATTTTAATTATCTAAAACAATTTTTTTTGGAAAAAAGCTATAGAAAATAGAAATTACTAGATTTAAAAAAAATAAAATTGGATCTTGAAAAGTATATCGTTTTGATTTGGATAAATTATGGGAAAAAATTAATAGAGGTGAATTTTTATTTCATTCAATAAGAAAATGACACATAATAAGTATTTAAAAAAAAAAGAGAGAGGGTTGTTCGTTGCAAGGGTATAAGTGAGCAAAAAGGTGGATGGAAGGGTAATTTTAGACCAAAGAGATGAGTAGAAGGGTATTTTTAGACCAAAAGATGGATGGAGGGTATTTTTAGACCTTTTCCTGTACTTCAGGGTTCAGGGGTTTTTTTGGTCCTTTTCCGTTTTTTTTTACCTTCTCTTCATTTAGTCCAATCTTTCACGCTTTTTTTTTTCTTTTCTTTTTTTTAAAAAAAGAGTAGATTTTTAAACCCAAGAAAATACAAACGTGCTAAAAGGTCTCCGCTAACCGTACTGATTTTTTGTACTTATAAACTATATACTAGTACTTTCTTGAAATTGTATTTTGTTAGCTTATTCACACATTTATATTTTTATCGAACCCCCTGAATAAAACATAAGACTCGTGTGTACTTGTTCAACTTTATACATGTTTACGTGTTTATTTTTGCACACTCAAAGTTTGAGGTTATATATGTATAATGAGACTAAATTAAATGACACATTTATGTGTTATGCCTTAGAGCTATATCAACTTTACTTAATATTTTAAACTATTTTTTAACCATATGCCCTTTAACTTGGCTTTAACTGACATTTATGCCTTCTGATTTTTGATGTGCACAAGTAGATATTTAAATTTATATAAAATTAAACAAGTAATACATGTGTTCTACATGACATAATACACGTAGGATGCAAAATTACCATGAAGGATGTCATATATGACAGATATGTCTATGTTCAATTTTAAACAAATTTAAGTATCCACTTGTAAGAATAATTTTAATTTATAATTTTTTTAATAATTTAATTTTATAATGCTAGAAAAACGGTGTGTATTAAAAAAAAGACAAAAATTAGAGCATCGAAAAAAATACCCACGTTTGTCTTCTCCCTCCGGCACCCCTTTGTTTGTATATAAATAGTCTCCCGCTTCTGTTGGATTTGCATATCATACTCTTTACTCTCTTCTGTTTCACCTACCAAACTTTAATTATACAGGTATTTTTCCAACATGCAATTTCATTTCTTAATATTTCTTCAATTTTTCAATTCTTTATTTGTTCATTAGATCTGATACCTAAGGTATTTTTAAATCAATTAACTTTCTGTTCATCATTTTTTGGATCTAATATCTTATTTCTTTAGATTTTTTTTTTTTTTGAATTTGTTTCCACTTTTCTATTCTCAAGCTTGTTTTAGCTCATGTTATGCCTGCTACATTTTTGATAAAATTGGAACGATACAGAGATGATAATAAGTAGTAATATAGATCCTGTAGAAAGAGGACAGGCATAAAGAAAGGCACAAATTTTTAAAAATAAATAGGAAAATCAATTTAGAGTGTCATAAATAACGTTTACTATGACAACATATGCGGTGTAATTCCATAAGTGGGGTTTGGTGAGGATAGTGTATACATAGATTTTAAACACCTAAGTTGTGAAAGTAGAGAGGTTGTTTCTGATAGACATCAGTAACCTTTACTATAGAGTATATGATAATAATATTGGCTGCAATGGCGGAGCTAGGATTCTCATTGAGAGATTCAAAATATAGAAGTTAAATACAAGAAGAAGCTAAAGGGGTTCAACGTCTATTATTTATTACATAATGGTGCAATTTTCTGCCAAAAGGGGATGGCCCTAGATATCAGGCTGCTGAGGCGAGAAGATATTGGAATTTAATAGCCTTAAGAAGTAGCTAAATTTTCTGTTCCACCTACGCCCTATTTGTGGGATTTCATTGAGTATGTTGTTGTGTTTCTTTACATATTAATAATTGTGTATAGAGAGAATTCTTATTTGTTTTGGGTGAAAACAGATTACTATTCACATATATCACTCACGATGGCTCCAGCAACTGCAGAATCAATCAAGCCTAGAGGTAACGCATTTGTTCTTTTTGCTCATTGCTTAGAAAATATAACTCATTTCTTTATATTTCAGCATCGAACTATTGTAATTTCAATATGAGCCACTTCTCTTGTTGCTTTTGTTTACCGTTGTTAAAAGATCGCATGATAAGAAATAGGTCTTCACTCCAGTCGAGGAGTGAAGCACATGTAGATAGATGAGTACTTTGTTCAGTTTTTGTTGTCTGAGCTTTTCTTTAAAACTAAAAGTAATTGTTGGATGTAACTTTAGTTTTATATTTATGTTTCAAGAATATTATTAAATCAGTGTTTACTTTTGTATCATAAATGTGGAAATTTTCAAATTATGCATTCCTAGTTAAGACCTTTAGAGTGGAAATGCCCTTTTGATGTTTGTTATCTTAGAGAGTCAAAATTTTGCAAGTACATCTTTTTCTTTACCTGAATTATGACGTTTCTACTGGAGATCCAATACCTAGAAACAGCTTCTTTTTCATTAAGTGTTTTTCCTCGTACCATTTGCTTGTCGTTTTCCCTTTTTCTGATAAAATTGACACCAAAAGCAGGCTTATTTACATTTTTGCTTTCTGTTTCAGGACCACAACGTTCCTTAGATTTTAGTTTCTCATTATTGCTTAATTTTTAATGCTTTTGTTGAACAGATGTTTGTGTTGTTGGTGTTGCCCGTACCCCGATGGGTGGCTTCCTTGGTTCTCTTTCATCAGTTTCAGCGACTAAACTTGGATCAATTGCAATTGCTGGTAAAACTCTACACTAATTTGACATAATTTGTTCATTATAGAGAATCATTGTCAAATGGCATAGAGTGATCTCTCTTTTTAATGCAACTTTAGGTGCTATCAAGAGAGCAAATGTTGACCCGTCACTTGTCGAAGAAGTTTTCTTCGGCAATGTCCTCAGTGCAAACTTGGGGCAGGCTCCAGCTAGACAAGCAGCATTGGGTGCAGGACTACCCAATACAGTGATTTGTACTACCGTCAACAAAGTTTGTGCATCTGGAATGAAAGGTGTGCACCGTCGAGTTGCAATAAGTAGATCATTTCCTAGAGAACCCTTATCCCCATTTATATAAATGTTATAAGGGCCAAGAGACGTGACTTGTTTGTAACTTAATGCTACTATATATATCTTTGCAGCAACTATGCTTGCAGCACAAAGTATACAGTTGGGCATCAATGATGTTGTTGTGGCTGGTGGAATGGAAAACATGTCTAATGTCCCCAAGTATTTTGCAGAAGCTAGGTTTGTTTTCTTCAAAAGTTTAGCACCATTCAGACTTAAGGTTTCCACCCTCCTCCCCCTCAGCGAAAGAGAGCAAGAGAGGAAAGAATTTACTGAATTCACAACTATAAGGAGATTAAATGGCCTTTTCCTAATTGTTTGTCGTATACCAATTTGGGGACGATTCATTGTAATGTTAATGCCCATGTTCCCTTTGTTTGATCTTAGCATGAATATGTCCTATTCTTACGTGTAACGACAAACTTAATGAACACTCAAACAGCGAGCCTGTGTTGCTGTTTTAACTTTCTTTTCCTTTCACTTCTAATATTCCATGTTTTCGCTTTGGTCATTTCCAAGATCTTCTCTCTTTCCACCATGTGCATTTTGGATCTTCCTCCCAGGGTCTTATATTGTATATGGTTTGTTCCATGTGGTAGACTTGTCGCTCCCCACTTCTGTTCTTGTTTTTTACTACTTCTGATCAACATTGTTCTTCAATTCATTAATGGCCTAAACTGGCACCCTTGCAGGAAGGGATCTCGTCTAGGTCATGATAGTCTTGTTGATGGAATGCTTAAAGATGGTTTGACGGATGTCTACAATGATTGTGGTATGGGAGTTTGTGCTGAAATATGTGCTGAGAATCACAAAATCACAAGAGAGGACCAGGTTTGTCTTCACATTTCTTTTTATGTGAATAATATAGCTTCAATAACCATTATTTGACTTTGATGTACACTGGCATACTGTTTTTGGCATTTCGTTGTCGATTCTACCATTTAAAGATGTTTTTGTGACAAAAGATTCAAGTGATACACTGCATCTCCTCCCTCTCTCTCTGTTTCATAAAGTTGGACAATTCCGACTTTATGTTCTTTTGTCACTTGTTTATCACACTATTCGTTTGTGGAAAAACTACCATTCTCTCATTTCTATGTTCCATCCTTTTGTTATCAAGTGTTTGCATGTCTGGCCAATCTTTTCCTTTCCAAAAACAAAAAGAGGAGTTAAGTGCTTATGTCTGAACAATATTTTTGCAGGATAACTTTGCAGTTCAAAGTTTTGAACGTGGCATTGCTGCACAGGAAGCTGGTGCTTTCACATGGGAGATTGTGCCGGTAAAACAACTAAATCTTCGATGCTATAGATAGCTCATAGCTAAAGTAAAAATGTTCCGTGCACCCTTTTAAATGATTTTCCGGGCAATTTCAGGTTGAAGTCCCCTGTGGAAGAGGAAAACCATCCACCATTGTTGATAAGGATGAAGGTCCCGGAAAGGTGAGTACATATACTGCAAGCAAGACTTAAATACCATAGATGTCTTTGTCCTTTACATCTTCCCTTGAGGTGGTTCAATGAATTTACCAACACAAAAACCTAATCAAGTATGACGAGCGCATGGGAATGCAAACAAAAGGAGTTATTTTCTGAAAATTGAATGCCAAATTTTGTATCAATACAAGCATCATTTTTTTGACCTGAAGAAGGGAATGAATTTATTTTCGAGTGCAGTATGCCAGTATATGCCTTTCAAATACCCGAGGATCAAAGGGACGACTTTGTTTTCTTGGTAGTTAAAATAGGTTAAACATACATCAACAGAGATTTTACAACGCCTATATATCCAGCCATAGAACTTCAACACTGTCAGCTTTACATTTCTCATGTATTTTGTTCTGTCTTGCCAGTTTGATGGCGCAAAATTGAGGAAACTCCGACCAAGCTTCAAGGAAAAAGATGGTACTGTGACTGCTGGTAACGCTTCTAGCATAAGGTTTGTGAGTTACATGCACCATTTCCTTTTCTTTGAATTCTTTCATTTATAAATATGTTGTGTGTTACCCTAAATTTAAATGCATTTTATCCTTTTGTAATTATAGCGAAAGTAGTATATCTGTTACGATTATAGGTTCCTCAAAAAAAAAAAAGTACAGTTCTTCATTGCATCCTTAGGGCTGTAGCGATTGGTAGTTTTATGTCATCTTCGACCTGCCTCAGGAGTATCTGATTTCTTCAATTCTTATAATCCATTAGAAATAACTGGTTTTTGAAATTTTTTCAAAATTAATTGGCAAGTGAATTATTTCCCTTTACAGTGATGGTGCTGCCGCACTGGTCTTAGTAAGTGGAGAGAAAGCTGTAAAACTTGGACTAGACGTGATTGCTAAGATCTCAGGATATGCAGATGCTGCACAGGTACTTTTATCTATGAATCTGGAGAATGTACAAGTTTTTGTTTTCACTTGGGCTTGTCTGTCAATTTTACAATCTTGACGCGTAAATTCAACTAACCGTGCAGGAACCTGAACTATTTACAATTTCACCTGCTAAAGCAATTCCAAAAGCCATCAAAAGTGCTGGTTTAGAGGCTTCTCAAATTGATTACTACGAAATTAACGAAGCTTTTGCGGTATGACTTTTTTTTTTTGTATTTCTTTTAAACTTGCTTTCTTTCTTTTGTCTGAATACTTCCTTAACAGACACTGCTTGCAGGTAGTAGCTCTTGCAAATCAAAAGCTGCTTGGTCTTAATCCAGTGAGCGCTCTCTCTCTATCTCTACCTCTAGCTTCTAAATATCTTAATTTCTTCAACTTTGAGAAAATTAGACTGGATCTGTTCTTTAGAGAAACTATTTGGATTTATCCATTCATACAAAGACAGATCAAGTTTGGCGGATCTTAAAACATTTCTATTATTTGCTTAGCAGTACATAATTTAGCGCAGAAACAATGATCATGGTGTTGAAGTATCCTTTCAAATTGTTCTTTCAGGAAAAAATTAATGTACATGGTGGAGCTGTTTCTTTGGGGCATCCTCTTGGATGTAGTGGAGCTCGTATATTGGTTACTCTACTTGGGGTATGTACTACTAGACGGAATACTTTACTATTACCAAAGTTAAATTCAAAACCTTAGGAACACTGGCGCCTTCAAATGTTTATTATTGCATCTTTCCGATGGAATGTTGCAGGTATTGAGACAGAAAAATGGCAAATACGGAGCTGCTGGTGTTTGCAATGGAGGAGGCGGTGCCTCGGCCCTTGTTGTAGAACTTATGTAATACATTTCTTTGGTCCTTGGTAAGTCCTAAAATAGGAAATTCATTTGAATGAAGTCTTACCTATATGATTCTGCATAGTGCATACCATACTTCAAGTGAAATTTATGGATTATATAGGGGATGTAGTTGATAGATTGGACATTAATGTTTGAAAAGTGTCAACGGGACAGCTGTGGTGTGAGAACAAGAAGAATTTATAGTGAATATAAGAGACTATCACTGAGATGACTATGCGACAAAAATGTTAACTAGATTGTTCATGTGGTTCTGTAATAATCGTATGTAACTCGATGAATATATTTGAAAATCCAGCAGGGGAATCTGCTCAGGGAGAAATGCTAGCCGATAGCTAAACACCTTTAGCATCAACAATACATTTTTTAACTAGGCACCTACAAATTAACCACCTCTATTAGCTAGCAATTCTCCCCTCATTCACCATGAAACATTAGTTTAGCTCAGGTGCAAAGCTTAACGATTCACACTTTGTTCGTTCTTCCACATGCATTGAGAGTTGTTGCTCATATCCTTAGTCGTTGTCAAATGTTTGATGCTTCTCAAACGTTGAAATTTCACTATTTCAATCAAATCATAGAGTTAGACTTCTAGGAAGGAAAATAGTGATTGTGCACTATGATCATATTGCGTTGTGCCATCTCTATCGTTTCCCCCTCTCATTTCTATACGGAGCAATAGAACGATAAGTAGAATTTTGCTTGCAAATGTTGTCTTATGTAAGTTGCTAATTTGATTGCAGGTGAGTATTGCAAGCTTAGTTACAAGAGGTGGAGCTTCAATGGATTAATTAGATTGAGTGGTTGGTGTCTTCAAGTAGCGAAAGATTGTGAAATTTTTCTGTCTTCTTTCAAGCAATTGTACTCTTCACATATAAATAAATGCAATAGTGATTACTTCCCTAAAAGTTGTAGAGTTTCCAAAGGTTGTTATAGAGTTTGTTATTCAACTTATACATTAGGAGTGGCAAGCAGCTAGTCGGATCGAAAACGGGTTAGATAAAATATTTGATACGTTTATATTTAACATGAATAAGATATAGGTTAATTGGTGGCTTCCAAATCTTATGACAAGACGCCTAAAGTTGATAAAAATTAATTTTATAAATAAATAGTTGTGTATTTTTATATTTTTGGATAAAAGTGTTGCTTTTAACTATACAGAGCAATGTCTATTGACTGAAGTGAGAAATTGGACTTGTTTGTTTGGCCAAAGATATTTTTTCACTTCTTTCTGGAGTTGCATGTTTGACCATAAAAATTCATGATTCAACTTGATGTTAAATTTCAAATTTTTTAAGAATTTGAAAAATAACAACAAAGTGTTCACTTTTTTCACATCAAATTACTCACAAAAAATATCATTTTCACTTTGAAAACAATATATATATTTTTTTCAAATTTCACATCGAAATATGGTTGAACACTTCAATTTGAATTTTTCAATTGGCATTGTGTTTGCTCATATTTTTTGAAATACATATTTGAAATTTGAATGTACTTTTTAAAAACATGAAATATATTTTTTATGGTCAATAAGCTCATTTTCAAATGGAAAATCACTCCACACATCGATTTAATGGTTAATATTACAACCTTTATATTTACTTTTTTTTATTATCAATTATAAATAATTACAAGTATTAACAAATTATTTTAATTTATTAATTAATTAATCAATTATATAATGTTATTATAATTAATAGGTGAGAGAAATAACATTAATGAGAGAAAATCAATTGACTATTATTAATTAAGACTTTCAAGGATTTTCTTAACTTACTAGATATAGGACCCCGTGCCAGCACTGCCAGCACGGGGCCCAATATATATATTTTTTTATTTTAATTTATGTCATATTATGGAATTTGAGAAGTTATTGAAATTTCTATATGATTTTAAAAATATTTTAAACTTTTAGCTATTGTGATTTGTAGTACTTTTTTTTAACATAATTTTGAAAATAATATTTATTACTCTCTTTGTTCTAATTTATGTGGCACACGCAGAATTTCAAATATTAACCCTTTTTTATATGTCTCTTTAATATATTAAGTTGTTAATTATTGTATTTTATAGTACATTTTGAACCTAATTTTTTAATAATATATGTTATTTGTTAATTGATAGAATACTTTTAATGTAATTTTTTTAAAAAAAAAATATGTGTGGCTCTCCATGTCCCAATTTATGTGGCACATGTAAAGTTTTGACAATTAACCAAAATTTTAATACATTTAAAAAAATATTTTTAAGTCGTTAAATTTTAAGTAATTTAAATTGTTGTATTATTTATTACAATTTATAATACTTTTAAAGTAGTTGAAATATTGTACTATTTATTATGATTTATAACAGTTTTTTTAAAAAAATTTATGTCATATAATGGAATTTGAGAAGTTATTGAAATTTTTATATGATTTTAAAAATATTTTAAATTGTTAGCTATTGTGATTTGTAGTACTTTTTTTTAACATAATTTTGAAAATAATATTTATTACTCTATTTGTTCTAATTTATGTGGCAGATGCAGAATTTCAAATATTAACCTTTTTTTATATGTCTCTTTAATATATTAAGTTGTTAATTATTGTATTTTATAGTACATTTTGAACCTAATTTTTTAATAATATATGTTATTTGCCATGTCCCAATTTATGTGGCATTAATTGATAGATTTGTTGGAGTCGAGAGATTTATTTTGTTAATTATTGTAATTTATAAAAAAAAATTCGTCAATTTCGTCGACTATTTATTTTATTAATTATTGTAATTTATTGTTTCTTTTTCGTCAATTTCAAACAATATATGTTTATCATATAATCCATTTTATGTGGTACCAATAGAATTTAGAGAGTCAATTAAATTTTGTATATAAGTTTTAAATAATTAAGCTGTTAATTATTGTAATGTATAGTATTACTTATATTATTTTTAAATATATTTAAATATTATATGTTAGGTTTTTTATCCTAATTTATATGGCATTGATAGAATTGAAAGTGTCAAATAATTGTTAATTATTGTAATAGATAATATGGAGTATTTAAGTCATTTATAGTATAGTAATTAATATATAATATGTAGTATTTAAGTGTTATATTATGGAATTTGAAAAGTTATTGAAATTTTTATATGATTTTAAAAATATTTTAAATTGTTAGCTATTGTGATTTGTAGTACTTTTTTTTTACATAATTTTGAAAATAATATTTATTACTCTGTTTGTTCTAATTTATGTGGCAAAGGCAAAATTTCAAATGTTAACCCTTTTTTATATGTCTCTTTATATTAAGTTGTTAATTATTGTATTTTATAGTACATTTTGAACCTAATTTTTTAATAATATATGTTATTTGCCATGTCCCAATTTATGTGGCATTAATTGATAGATTTGTTGGAGTCGAGAGATTTATTTTGTTAATTATTGTAATTTATAGTTTCTTTTTCGTCAATTTCAAACAATATATGTTTATTATATAATCCATTTTATGTGGTACCAATAGAATTTAGAGAGTCAATTAAATTTTTTATATAAGTTTTCAATAATTAAGTTGTTAATTATTGTAATGTATAGTATTACTTATATTATTTTTAAATATATTTAAATATTATATCTTAGGTTTTTTATCCTAATTTATATGGCATTGATAGAATTTAAAGTGTCGAATAATTGTTAATTATTGTAATAGATAATATGGAGTATTTAAGTCATTTATAGTATAGTAATTAATATATAATATGTAGTATTTAAGTGGAAGGTGGTTGGGCCCACTTATATAGTTTGATAAATATATTGGATATTAGTAGTGATTTATAGTATAGTAATTAATAATATATAATATGTAGTATTTAAGTGGAAGGTGATGGGGCCCACTTATATATTTTATAAATATATTGGACATTAGTAGTGATCTTATTGGCACAATGGTAGTCATTCCTAGAGTCTTCTATAATATAGTAACGGAAAAGGGTCAAAATTGCCCCCGAACTATATGAAATAGACCATTTATACCCTTCGTTACATTTTGGGATAAAAAATGCCCCTGCTGTTATCCTAAGAGACCATAAATACCCTCAAGAGTTAACACCCCAAATTTTTGTTGACGTGGCAAGCCACGTGAGACTAATCTTTCCACCTTAGCGTTGCCAACTAGGATTCATTACAAAAGAACTAGACCTTTAGCGGCAACAACAGTCGGCCACAAAAGCCTAGAAAATCGTCACTAAAAGTTTTTAACATTAAATTCTAATTTTGTTTTTTTTTTCTTCATTGTTTTAAAAAAACCAAATATGATATCGATTAAGTAGGAGTTTGAAGACACTATATGTTTTATTTTTATGTCTTATGTAAATGTATAAAATGTACAATGATGCATTATATATATATAGTAGGAGATTTGAATCGAGAAGTAATTTTGATTATTTTTCGTAATAATATTGGATGTTTTTAATATGGATATTGCAAGTTATTTATTTTAGAAAATTAGGTCGCAATCGAAAATTAATTATCATATTTTTTTGTTGAAAAAATAGGTTTTATTAGCGAATGGTTGTTGAAGCCTTAGTCACCACTAAAAATCACTCATAACCTTTAGTGGCAATATTTTGAGATTTTGTGGCGACTTTGTAAACACTCTTTAATTATAAATAGACTAGTAAACTTGTTCGCGCTTCGCGCGATGTGAATTGCATTTTATAAATTTGTTATTAACTGAAAAGTCAATTTATAATTATAGTTTTTTTTTTTTTTTAAAAAAACACTTTTAAATGTTATAAACTATATTTTAAAAAATGCTCCTATTTGATTTGATTTTCATTCAACAATTAAAATTACGTTCAATAAATTTTTAATATGTTAGCTTTCATATAAAATGTGGCTTACAATAATATTTGAATTTGACTTAGTGGAATGAACAAAAAATTAAAGGTACTTTAGATAAGTCGAAAATATTACAAATTTATAAATGATAACAATTTCTCAAACTTTTATCACTTGTTAATAAATCTTCTCAAATGGTAAATGATGTGTCAATCGTGTTCATTATCTTAGTATACTAAAAGTATATAAATAATAATATGGTTATATATGTTATATGAAGTAAAAAATAAATATATTTAGACTTTTTGTTTGTTGTTCTGTTTTCCTTTATGTTTTCACCGTTAACATATTAATTGTTAGTATAAGTTCTTATTAGTGTCAACATAATATAAATTGCATACACATTCTTATTGTTAAAATTAAATGATATGTAAATAACTTTTTTAATAACTACAATAATTTAATGTGAGTTATGACTATTATTAATTAAGAGTGAAAATAATGAAGATGGAGAAGTGTGAATTCTGAGAAATATGACTTTTTAAAAAAAATAAAAAATAAAAAAGGAGGATAAAATTCTTGATGAAAGAGAAATGTTACTTATTATTTTCCTTGTTATTTCTCAACTTTCTAAATATCTCTCATATTTTAAAAGCTAAAAACATCAAACATTAATAAGTAATACCATCATCTTCCTTGTTCAATAAGTATATTTTTGATTTATTTGCTGGGTCTCAAGTAACCCTAGTTACACTATTCTAAAATTTTAATTTATCCAAATATTTTTTTTTCCAATTTCAAAAGGATCTATAATTTAATTTATCTTAATTAAATTATGCATATATAACTTCGATTTTAAATTAAATTTTGAGTATTTGAGAGGTATTACTTATTATTTCCCAATTTTATAAATATATTTCATATTTTAAAAGCTAAAAGCATCAAATATTAATACCATCCTCTTTTATAAGTATAATTTTGATTTGTTTGTTGTGGCTCAAGTAACCCTAGTTAAAGTATTCTAAAATTTTAATTCATCCAAATATTTTTTCAGTTTCAAAAGGATTTATATCTAATTTATCTTAATTAAATTATGCATTTATAACTCCAATTTTAAAATAAATTTGGATATTTGT